ATCTGAATCGGTTACGATCTACTAGCAAAAACTGGAATTACTTAGTTAAAGATTGGAGATTCGCAAAAAAAAACATTCGGATAAATCGGCAAAGGAGTTTCTGATTCTACTATTGACGAATAAATTCAAGATTTCTCCTACGAGCGTCAATCTCCATGGAGTCGTCCCATCCGTAGAGGTTTAAAGGTGAGCTTAGCCTACCGGATCCGCATTATAATAATAAATCTTATCCATTCGATATATCTCAAGTTTTTCACTGCGAGGGTTTATTGTTATGCTCTTTTGATGACGAATCTACAATCGTGGTGTACTGATCAAACGAGGTGGATCGACACCGGCAAACGTTACAGGAGTGACCGCAGCTATGTCCTAGGATACAACCAAGACAAGAAATCCTGCAGCAAAAGCTACAAAATACTAAGCTTTTATCCGGATCCTTGATCATGATATCGCGCCAGGTTGGTACAATGGATACTCTACTCGCAGCGTGTCTTTGAGTTTGAGGGGAAGTACTTACTGGTTTGCTGTAGATTTAACAAAAACGCACATGGGCATATTCTTGCACAGATTTGATTTTTTCAACAGAGAAATCATCTGGACCTGTGCCTTTTCCTTATCAGTGTTGTACATTTGAAACTGCGTTGCTTTCCGTTGTTAGAGAAGAGAAACTTTCGGTGTTATTACAGCGGGAGTATACTTCCAAGACTGAGATATGGGTGACAAATAAGATTTTGACGACACAAATAAGACGGTGTCGTGGAGCAAAGTCTTAGCATTGGATTTGAGCTTCGATCTTCAAATTTCGTTTTTAGGAAGCTTCTTGCTCGACGAGGACAAGAAAGTCCTTGTGTGTTGTCAGAGATGGATAGACGACAATGACGAGAACGTGTCCAAAGACATAATATACATTGTTGGAGAGGATAATAAAGTCACGCCAGTGAATTTTGGAGTAGACGCAATAAATGGATGTTGGCTGCCTATTCTTAATTATGTTCCACGGTTGGTTCATATCGAGCGAGCCCGAGGCAACAAAAGAAAAAGAGGTGACTGAATAATCTCCTGTATTTTGTGTCTTCTCTGAATTTATTTTCGTCTTGTTCCTTTTTCTGTGTGTGTTTTCTTAATTTTTCTTGGTCATGTTCTTTGAATAATCATTTGATAAAGAGAAGAGGTGACTAAATAAGCTCTACATGTTGTAATTAATTTCTTTTTTTGTGTGTTTTCTTAATTTATCTTGGGCATGGTCTTTGAATAATCCTTCCAACTGTTGTTTCATTAAGATGTGATATTTACAGATGTTTCAACTGCCTATTGTTCCTTGCTTTAACATAGTTTTGAAGTTCTTATGATCAAATCATGTCTCGTACAACAAGATGTCTAAGAAGAGAGCATTATGTTTCAAAATTACAAGCTTTTCTTAATTCAGTGATTAGTCATTCATGGAGCATGTACAGAGCTATCTCCTCGTCTCTACTCTTGAGTTTGTTTTTTCACCAAACTCACTCACTTATAAGTTGTAAATCTAGAAATCATCGGCACCGATTCACCCTTCAAGTTCTACCACTAAGCCACCCACACTACGTGCAACTACAAC